TTCTGCTGTGACTTATTTCTGTAGCATTTTAACTCTCTTAAGGATTGGTTATAGGTGAGTACTGGCAAGATAATTGAGTTCCGTATTTATTTTTGCTGCAAGTTACTATTCCATTTCGTTCCGTACTTTCTTTTGCTTTATTATATACTCTATGCAAGTTATATTATAAATGCCCCATCGAGGTTAGGCTCGGCACTTACCAGTACATGGGGTCGGTTGTACTGATACTGCACTCTGCACTTTCTGTGCAGATTTCGCAGCTGGTAGTGGCTGATAGAGAGGTCGGTTGCAGATACTTCATCTAGGAGACCCAAGGTAGTCCTGCTGGCATCCGCAGGCTCTGGCGTCCCCTCCTATGTTTCTATTTTCCTGTTTTCTTTTCTTTCGAGGCAGATGTAATTTATTCAGACCAGTATTTGTAGTAATTCGTAGTATGTTTGTGGATTGTGAAACCAGTTTCTGGGTGGTAACAGTTTCGGTATTGTTAATAGTATGTAGATAACCGATTAATTATGTACTTCCGCATTTATTTCAGTTTGATTTAGTTTTTGTTAAATTTTAACTTATAAAATGTGAAGGAAAAAGGTGAATAGAACTCTAACGTTGGCTTGCCTAGCGACTGCAATGTTAGGCGCCATCACGGTCCCGACGGTGGAAAATTCGGATCGTGACAATAATTCATCAAAGGACTTTTTTCTTTTTCAATTGATTCCAACAAATAATTCAATGTAGTTTTTCATATATTAAATTACTTGTATTAGTTGATAAATCTCCATACTTCACTTGTAAAAATATATTGGGTTTGTTGTTGTATTAGGTGATAAATCTTTGAGAAATTATAATAAAAGCATATGGAAAAACAAATACCCATAATTTTAGGATTTAATATTTTGCCATACAAATAATAGTATTTTTCAAAAGATATACTCAAAGGATATTCTTTTAAATTCACGTGAATCGATTGATCAAAACCCTTATATAAAGTTGAAAGATTTTTTAACCTTAAAAACAAGAACTCTTCCTATAACAGTTATGAACAAAAAAAATACAGATTTTAATAAATTTTCCGGCTATTATTGTACTTTTTAATTCAATATCAAATTCTAAAAATACTTAATTAATAAAAGAACACATAATAATTGCACATCAACTTCAAATAACATATCTTAATTTAGAGGAGACAATAAAATTATTATCACATCCTTATCATTTAGCTTATGTATATCAAGTATATTCTATTTATTAATCCCAAAATAAAGAAGAATCAATAATGTAATTGGAGGCAAAAAAAATAAAAAATAAAAAAATCGGAGGCTCCAAAAACAACCACCAAAGGATGTGGTGCAGTGGATGGGACTGTTCTTCTCTTAACCAGAGGTCTCTAGTTCGAGCCCTGGGTATAGAAAAATTCTTGATAGGGAGTGCCTCCCCCCGAACGGGGCCCTACGCGGTGCGTATCCGGATATAGTCGGGCTCCAATGCGGATACCAAATACTGGGTGCGAAACTTAAAAAAAAGAGATTTTTACCTAGCTATACTATGATAGCAACTTATTAATTTATTTTCTCTAGGTTTTGTAGTTTTCAAAAAGTACCTAGGTTTTTTTTACAAATTGTATACATTCCTCCCTTAAAAATCTCTCATTCCATTATTAATGCTTTTAATTAAGGGATTCAATTATATCATTTCCTTTTTTTCACACTTCTCCTCATTTCATGCTTCCTAATTTTTTCAATACGCATATCTCCTCTTCTCTCTCTCTTCAATAGTTGCACGTCTTCAGCAAGAAGCTACTAACTTTGCTTCAACTGTTGAATGATTTGGTTGGAACCTTCAAATACTAGATTAATGTCACATTCTATGTTCCTATTATCCTTATAATGTTAGGAAAGTGATATCTAATCTAACAAATCCAATAGCACAAAATTGTTTTCCATAATAGCAACCAAAAAGAAACCTTTTCATGCGATGTCAAAAAATCAGTTGCTACAAAGTTTCTTCAACAATTCAAATATCGTTAAACTCTAGCAAAATTATTACTAATAGGATAATAGCCCATAACTTACAATTACTCATCACCATATACAATTATCATACATTCGTGATACAATTTCTCCAACAATTAGAATACAAATACAATTATGATACAATCATGATACAATTCTGTTCTTCCTCGTCTTCTTCAAGTTTCAATCACAACTCTAAACTTAAACTCTGAAATAATATTGTATTATAATTGTATTAGGTATTATTTTAGGTATTGATATATCAGATACAAATTAAATACAAGTTTGATACAATTGTGATACAATTATGAAACAAATATGATACAATTATAATACAATCGTGATACAATTGAGAAACTTTTCTTCTTCGAGTTTCAATATGAAATTTTACCTAAAAACAACTCTAAACTTAACCAATCTCCCTCAAAATTGAGATATAAACTCCAAGTTATATTATCAATTGTTTGCAAGAGCACGATTTAGGGGTGGGTCTCTTATAGTGAAGGGACTTGGTAATTGCAAACAGAGGTAATGATTTTTGGGTGGGTCTCTTACGGTGAAGGGATTTGGTAATTGCAAAGAGAGGTGGTAGTTTTGGGGTGGGTTTCTTACGGTGAAAGAATTTTGGGTAAGTATTGATTTTGCGTATCTTAAATGTAGGATATTTTGTGTAACTGATACCCACTATTTAAGGTATATCTCATTTCCTCTTTTTTTTAAGATTTTGTATAAAACTAGTAAATATGGGTATATAAAGTAATTAATAAGGAACATAAATAAAAGTAGTAAATAGGTTTTTATTATAGTATAGCTAGATAAAAATCCCTAAAAAAAATCGAAGGCACCGAAAACAGAAATCCAAAATCGTCACCACTTATTTTGAACTTTATTAGAACAATAAATGGAGCTATATACGCATTATTATCATTTGCCCAACATCATCATTTAAGTTTTTCCTAATATTCTAAAGTTTGTAATTAATTAAATTTCTGCATTAAATTCTTACTTATTTGAAATGTATAGAAATTTTAATGTTAAATCCAATATACAAATTCTTTTCTTATTCGAATTATGTAAAATTTTATTTTAGAACTCAAACATTGTTTTAGTATAATATTTATATAATAGTTTTAGACATTTTTACTCACCGAGATGAGGTACACGCGCAAAGCGCGTACCTTAAATATAGTATCTATAAATACTTGATTGTGAACTTAATTATTATTGTATTAATTTGAAGTCGTTGTAGGAACCCAATATATTAATTTGAAGTTATTGTAGGAATTTAGATCTTGAATCCGTCTCTGCGGACGGTATATCCTAACGTTTGAACACATTAAATACCGTCAACCGCCAATAGGTTGGGTTTGAACGAGGGGTGTACAAAGAAAATCGATAAACCACACTAAATCGATAATCCGAGTCAAATTAGGAAAAAAAAACCCGATTGTGATTTGGTTTGATTTAAAAAAAAACGAGCATAACAAGTTTGGTTTGATTTTAACTAAAAAAAGTCAAACCGAAACCAAACCAACCCGATAATACATTTATACAATTTTTAAAAATATTTTATACATATAAATTTTTGTTGTAATGTAATTTCTTAAATTTTTTCACAGTTTTATCTTTTAACGTATTATTTCAAGTTTGGACATAACATTCTTGAATGGTAAATAAATTTTATAGCCCTACAAATGTAGTAACTCAAACGAAGTCCAAATCAATATTAATGCTAACAAAAGAAATTCAATTCAACACTAGAAATGACGATAGTGTATAAGGTTAGTAGGTAGTTGAGAGTTTCCTCCTTTCTTACCAGTAGTACTAGTAGCTCGCATGTACTTTCCTATTTCTCAGATCTATATTACATCATTTGTTTCAATTATCGTATTCTCCTGTTGTTACTATTTTGGTACTACTTATTCTTTTCTTCCCCTTTCTCTTCCCTCTCATTCTTTCTTTTTCTTCTTCTTTCCTCCATCTGCTGCTTCTTCTTCTTCTTCTCCTCCTCCTCCTCTCTACCTTTCTAACCGAGCGTCTATTGAAAACAAGCTCTCTAACTTCACTGGGTAGGGGTGATGTCTGCGTACATACTACCTTTCCCATACCCACATGTGGGAATATACTGTGCATGTTGTTGTTGTTGTTGTTGTTGTTAGTTTATAATGAAAATGCATAATTATGTAAAAATAGTACTTATTAGCTATACTTATTTCAGCATGACCTATATAGTATTTTTAGATTATGTTAATTTTCATTATGGCTTGTTAATTAGCAACATTTGCTTTATATAACTTTATTATCTTTGTTATTGAATATTTTGGTATAATGCTATGACTTATCTCTTATTATTGTGTTATTTCTTGGAAAGTACATTATATAGTTGTATTTAACTAGGACTAAAGAAATATTTGGAGCACAAATTACACATTAAGTGCTTTGAAGAATTTACCTAGAAAAAACCCGAAAACCCGAAAAAAATCAAAAAAGCCGAGAAAAACTGAGATTGAAAAACCCGACGTTGTTGGTTTGGTTTGGTTTGGTTTATAGATTTAAAAATCTGACACCATTAGTTTAGTTTGATAATTAAAAAATCCGAACCGACCCGACCTATATACACCCCTAATTTCAACAATGCCTTGGAGACTGTCTTCTAAGTGACAATTTCAGTTGCAAAAAATAATAGTTGCTTCTCAGCAAGACTTGGGGAAAAGTTTGGCTGTACCATAGTGCATGTTAACAAACACTAAGACATAATTCCAACTTTGATCTCTAAACTTGTCCATAGGAGAAAGTAAAAGGGACATAATTCCAACTTTGATCTCTAAACTTGTCCATAGGAGAAAGTAAAAGGAACCTTGCCTGAAAAAAATTACTTATTTTTTCGAACCTTAGCTTATTATTTTTGGGCTATAGATTTGCAAAGTTGCGACTGGACAAACTGGTTGCAATGTATATGTGTGGGTTGCACTTACGTTCAATTACGCACACAGCTAAAGCCTGTCGAATACCTTTCTACTAAGTAATCCAGAGCGTTAAACAAAAGCTTCCTCTACTTTTACATAGCACTGTTTGATACACAAATAGAAAACACAATATACAAGCAGTTGAACAACGTTGTATCATCGCTCATTCGTTGACTGATTAAATTCGGATGTTACCTGTCCGGAAACGCTCATCATACAGCTGCCAGTGCACGTATATACCTCTCAGTGTGAGATCCTAACATCGAGAAGTAAAACTGAGGCTTCTTCAAGGTTTTCAACTGCTTCAGATTCGATGAGGCGTTTGAAATTTCCGAGCTAGTAACATCTGTACACCCAGATAGATCCAAATGCTCAAGGTTTACACACCCTTCAGATATCAAAGCTAGACCTTTAGTAGTCAAGTTGGAGAAACGAAGCTCAAGTTGCACAAGTTTCAGCATAAATTTTCCAATTGCAGCAGCTTCTGAATCGCCATCTTGAGGATAGGCATCTAGATACTCCCAGGGGACAAAACATTGTTGTCGGGAAAGATCTAACCTACTCGTGAAATTTCGCCTTAGAATTCTCAAATTAGCACAATGATGTCCTATAAGAGCAAGAGAATTGTGAGATATTTGACAGCAGAGGCTGATATCGAGTTCCCTAAGCAAAGGGCACCCAAAGGCGATCTTAGACATCGTTTCATCAGTTACATGTGGACAGCATTTGATGGAGAGAACTTGAAGGTTTGGAGACCTGCAAAGAATATACAGAGCCATTATTTACCAGTCATAAATACCGACCACGAAAACTTTTCCAAAACTAGGCAAAAGATTGTCTTCGGGAAGCACCAGTGTTATCAGAAAGCAAACCAACAACATACCAAGTGTGATCTCACAAGTGGAGTCTGGTGAAGGTGGGGTATACGCAGACCTTACCTTTACCTTGTGTGAGGTAGAGAGACTATTTCCAATATACCCTCGGCTCAAGAAAAGCGATTATCAAAAAGCAAACCAACAGAATAAAATCTATGGGTTTATGTTAACTGGTAGGCAATGCCAAAAAAACAGAAGTAAGATTATTATATCTAATCAGTAAATATAGTGAATTGATGATTACCAGAAATTACAAACTTAGGAGCCAAATCACATTAGATTCATCAAAGTTGGGAGGTGGATCAACTGATACCTAATAACATGAACCTCAGAGACCACCATCCTGTATTATCCGTGATTCTCATTTCACCCGAATAGGAAAGTTAAATCCAGTCCACTACCGAGTTCTCTATCTTAAGTCTTAACGAAACAAGAAAAACAGGAAAAGAGAAAATATAGTCTAGGCTGAAACAGAACTCTATCTTTATTGAAGATTGGAATTTCTTTTATACATAAACAGTAAGGTAAACTTTTATCAAACACATCAGATTACGCTCCATTGCTTCCAACTTGATCAAACATATTAAAGTTTAGCCTCCACTAACGCAACGGCCAGCTCCAGCTGCATCAAGTCTCCTTCATTAAAGGAGTCTAGTATGTGAATTCAGTTTATTCTCCTCTTAAAAATGGTTACTTTGATGATCACACATAAATCCTATACCCAACAAGATAACCAGTGTTGTTGGGTATACACTACCCTCACTAAACCCCTGCCTTTAAAAGGCAAAGAGACTGTTTCCAGAAGACCCTCGGCTCAGGAAGGGGAGAGGTGAGGGGCAATAACAATTAACATATTAGAACCCCAAAAAGAAAAGAGAAACAAACTGGTGGTGGCATCCATTATCTTCACTTTCACATTTTATTCTAGTTATTGCTCAATACAGCCATAATATTCTCAGCCTAGTTACTTTCTTTTTTTTCCAAAATTTTCTTGGTTAACCAGTTTTACCTCAATTTAAAAATCCCATTTTCGGCCAATATATCAAAATTTTCTCAATGTTTCTTCGACTAGCATCTCAATTTTTTTTTTAAAATCGATCTTTAGATTTTTAAAACCAATAACAGCTAGAACATAACTCAGGGTTAGTTTTACTATAATGGACAACAAGATCAACAAAAGAAACACAGAAAGTTGTAGCAACTGTGCAACTACAACAACAACAACAACAACAACAACAACAACAACAACAACAACAACAAACCCAGTATAATCCCACATAGCGGAGAACTGTGCAACAAAACAAGCAAATTAATACATTAAGTTCCGTGAATGATTCTACAATATCAAGCTTGCTAGCTTAGCCACTTCAAATAATCAATTTATACAAGTTATTCGTAAATACTATCTCTTGTAATCAATGTAGAACTGAAAGAGGCGGAGCAAAACCACATTAACTTCCATCACTTGGTGCCAGAGGCGGAGCTAGAGTGCAATTTAGGAGTTTGATCGAACTCATTAGCTTTGGTTCAAACCTTATATTTATCTTAAAAATCCATTAAATATGTGCAAATTATTAATTTAAAACCCATTTAATTTTTTCTTTAAAAGTAAAATCTCGAACCTATAAGTTTCAAATCCTAGCTTAGCATGTACTAAAAAGCTACTTAAATTCAGCTAAGCCAAGCCAAACGGGATACATACATCCTTATCTGAACTTCTCAACCAAAAAATAATAATAATAATAATAATAATAATAAAATAAAAACTACTCAAATTACAATAATTCTATGAATTGGATACTTTTCTTTACCTTTCAGCAATTAAAGCTAGGGACTGATCAGAGCAGTGTCTAACCCGGACTGTAGTAAGAGATCCATCACTCCAAAGTACAACAGATCGAAGCATAGAGTCCATTTTGCGCTCGAACCCGGGCGTCCAGAAACGAGACGGTTTAGTGGATGATTCGAACTGAGTTTCGAGGTCGATTACCGAGTTGAGGGTAGGGTCTTTGCAAGCTTGAAACCATGGCTTGCACACAAACATGGCTCCGCGCCATCGGTCTTCGATGGAAAGGCGAGAAAGGATGTTGATGAGGCATAACTGAGTTAACTCGGCCCAGTCATGGTTAGGGCATGACTCGGTTTTCGTTTCTTTGTCATTGTCCATTTCTGATTGAACTTCTCCTCTTTACCAAATTTTGATTGAGCTTATTATAAGGGGTAGTAAGGGGTAGTTTTGTCAATTTAGTTCTTCTTCCTTCTCAATTTAGGTGTTAATGTTTTACTTAGCATTGAGTTTAGGAACACAAGTTTGGTGCACAAAGTATTCGGTACTCGGGAAGGGTTTGGAGAGTGTTGAACCTTAAGAATGTGATGTAGACAGATTATTTTAATACAAATGTGAAATGTTAGTAAAGGCGTATCCAGAATTTCAATTATATGGGTACACCATGAGAACCAGAAATCGAATTTTTAAGAGGGTGGCTAAGAGATGTATTTTTATTTATAAGTTAAAACAAAAAGTGGCTAAGAGATGTATTTTTCATTTATAAGCTAAAACAAAGATTAAATAAAGAAAAAGGAAAAAAAACATATAACCATTAAGAAAAAGAAAAAATAAAAGAAGTGTGTTTTATTAGAAAAAGCGGCAAGGGCATGGGATTTAACCCTATTTATTAATTGAAATATGATTTAAAAGAGGAAGGAGTATGGGAATCGAACCCATCACTATAGCCTGTTTAGCTAAGTATTTTTTTTTTTTTTTTTGGGCAAAAAGTGCTGCACTTTTAGCCAAAAAACGAGGTGTTTGGCCAAGCTTTTGAAAGGAAAAAAAATACGTTTGAGGAGAAGTAGAAAAAAGTAGTTTCTCTCCAAAGCAGTTTTGAGAAAATACACTTAGAAGCAATTTTTCAAAAGCTTGGTCAAACACTAATTACTGCTCAAAAGTGCTTTTCAAATTAATTAGCCAAACACAAACTGCTTCTCACCAATAACACTTTTTTAAAAAGTAATTTTGAAAAAAGCACATTTCAAAATAAGTTGATTTTAGAAACTTGGCCAAACAGACTATAAAAGGTAGAAGGTGCACTTTTCTTTATCAGTGCACTAAAGTGCTCACTTGAACTTGGGTTCACCCATGTTAATGTAAGTATTTTGAGCTGAATTTTACTGATATACATGATCTAGGGAGAGGAGAATGGGTTCACGTGAACCCACCCCTCTTATGTGCATACGCCTCTAAATGATAGTGGTTGATTCCATCGAATGGAGTTTAAGAAATAAACGAATACTTTTGAAATTTATGGTATAATTAAATTTTATGTAACTATAAATTATCTTATTAAGGATAAAGTTAAAAGTTATATTAATTTTAAATAAATATATACTAAAAAGAAGATTACTGGATAGAAAGAGTATCTCTTTATTGGGCATTTGTGAATGATGAGTAGTGAAAGTTTTGGTGTACTTAAGATATAGGAAGGCTCAAAATAATCACTAAAGTTTGAGTTCACTCAAAATAGTTCTTCATGTAGAAGGTAAAACAGCATGGATTGGTGAAAATGATAGTATAATTATCCCAAGATAAATTGTGGATTATCTTATTTATTATTTGGTTTATTTTTTCTTTTTTGCTTTGGTATAAGAAATATTGTGATTGTTTACACCACACAATTGTGATATTATTTTTTGCCATATAAATATAAGATACAATCTTGGAATTATGATGTACGACGTATATTTTTCTATGTAGCTCTTCTCTGGTTCTTTCAAACTCTTTTAAGAAAGTTAAAGTTAAAATTTTGAAAATAACAAATTTATCAAAATTGTATAGTATAAAAGCAAACACGTGATTTATATTGTATAACTAGTTTTTAGTCCAATTATCTAAATATTTATAAAAATATCTCCACTAAAATAATTTCATCATATTTAATCACTTAGGAGTGTTATTAGTGTTCCGCTGTATGTATCAGAGAGCATTTTTAAGTGAAGCTTCAAATTTGTACTTTTCTCAAACGTAGATGAAATTTATTGGACTAGATTAAGCTCCCATTTGGAAATAAATTTTTTTTCACTGGTTTTCAACAATATTTTAAAAAACATTATTTGGTTATAAAAAGTGATCAATTTTTGGTAGGACTGCTTATCGGGCGGATTGGGCGGTTAATTATTCTTAACGGTTTGGCTTAACGGTTATCGACTTTTAAATATATTAATCCGCTAGCCACCGATAAGATATCGAGCGGATTGGTATCGGTTTAGCTCTTATCGGACGGTTTATCGGCCTAATTCAATTTATATTGTGTGCATTAATTGTTTGTTGACCGGTGACTCAAAATAACATTCCTATGCTTAGCATACTACATTCCAGTCTATACTCTATAGAATACAATAGATGAGTCCAGGACAAGCACATAACAATGCTCAACTAATTGAATCAGACTCTTGCGTTTTTCTTTTATATTTCTTGACTAAGCACAGAATAGCTATAATGCTCAATGTTTTGTCTTGTACATTTTGTTGGTGTCAAACTCGACTGTAGGGATCTACCGTTAAGTGTAAGTCTCCTAATTTCATGCAATTTGAAAACTATACATGCAATTTTTCTAAATACCTTTATATACGCAGGTTTAATGTACAAGTACTGGATGACGAGAAATATCTTGGACTAAATANATTATTTAGGAATTAGGTATTAGAGATAGAGTACTCGAAGTGGAAGGGTTTTTGATATATATATATATATATATATATAGAAAAAAAATAATCTGCCACCAAACGGATAAGCTGTTAATAAAAGAATTTCAATCCATTCCCTGTCCGTTAAACCGTTAACCCGATATCAATAAGCCATTAAGCTTCGGTTTCGGTTCGATTTTGAACGCCCCTAGTTTTTGAATAGTTTTTGAAGATGAATTTTTCAAGTTTCAAAAAGTGGTTTAATGATCGTTTGGACATAAGAATTGTGAAATTCCCGAAAATGTTGAGAAAAAAAAAAGTGAAAATGGTATTTAAAAATTAGAGTTGTCAGTTGTGTTTCGACATGAATACAATTTGAAGCTTTTTTGCAATTATATGAGTGATTTGAAGTGAAATTTTTTGAAAAACAACTTCTTGATGTTTTCAAATTCCGAAAAATTCTAATATTCAACTTTAAGTGAAATTTGAAATTTTCATGGCAATTCTGAAAAAAAGTAAATTTTTTGGAAAAGAAGTAAAAAACAATTATGGGCAAAGGGACCCTTAGACTAGTTTTCAAGTTTTTGAAGTTTTCTACTCACAAAACTTCAACTTTTCTTCAAGTAAAATGCATGTCCAAACATAATTAACTTTCAAAAATCATTTTTCACCTCATCTTAAAAAGAAAAAACTCTTTTTTTTCAAATTTTAAACAAATTTATGTCCAAATGCTAGCTAAATGTGTAGTAGTTTTGAAAATTTGGGAGTACTATTATATACTCCATATACATTAGAGAACATTTTGAGTGAAGCCCCTAGGTTAAGGGATGAATTTGGAATTCATCATCAAAAAAGTCCCACCTTTCTTTCTGCTTAATATGATAAATTAACTGTGCTATTTTCAAAAAGTCAATTATCCAAACTACTAAATCAGCTACATAAATCCTCTGCATTCACTCCACTCTATAGCCCTATTTAGAAATAAGCAATTTAAAAGCACAATGTACAAGAAGTTGACTCATGCTTTGCCTGATTAAATTCGAAAGTCACCCGTCTGGAAACGCTCATCATACAGTTGCCAGTGCCCATACCTTTCAGATTCTAACATCGGAGAATAAAACTGAGGCTTCTTCAAGGTTTTCAACTGCTTCAGATTCGACGAGGCATTTGAAATATCCCGTCTAGTAACATTTGTACATCCAGTGAGATCCAGATGCTCAAGGTTTATGCACCCTTCAGATATCAAAGCTAGTCCTTTATTAGTCAAGTCGGAGAAACGAAGCTCAAGTTGCACAAGTTTGAGCATAAATTTTCCAATTGCAGCAGCTTCTGAATCGCCATCTTGAGGACAGGCATCTAGATACTCCCTGGGGATAAAACGTTGTTGTCCGGAATGATCTACCCTATTCGTGAAATTTCGCCTCAGAATTCTCAAATTAGCACAATGCTGTCCTATAAGAGCAAGAGACTTGTGAGATATTTGATAGCAGAGGCTGATATCGAGTTCCCTAAGCAAAGGGCACCCATAGGCAATCTTAGACATCGTTTCATCAGTTACGTGTTGACAGCTTTTGATAGAGAGAACTTGAAGGTTTGGGAACCTGTAAGAATATTCATAGCCATTATTCACCATTCATAAGCACCAAACATGATAACAGATAACATAACGTAGGAAAAGATCATCTTTTTGAAGCACCAGAGTTATCAAAAAGCAAACCCGTACCTCTGGAAAAACCAACGGGTTTATTTTAAATGGTAGGCGCCAAAAACCAAAAGGAATATCGTATATGTAAATAATAGAGAATGAATCACTACCGCCATTAACTACAAACTTAAGGTTAGTGGAAGCAAGTAAAATTTCATTTAATCGTTCAGAATAGATCCATTAAGGGGAAACTTGGAGCATCGGTCAAGTTGTCTCCGTGTGACCTATAGGCCACGGGTTTGAGCCGTGGAATAGGCCACTAATGCTTGCATCAGGGTAGGCTGCCTACATCATACCCTCTTGGGGTGTGGCCCTTCCTCGGACCCTGCGTGAACGCGGGAAGCTTTGTGCATCAGGTTGCCCTTAGAACATTAGATCCATCAAGTTGAGAGGTTTCAAGTGTTACCGCTAACATGAATCTCAGAAACCATCATCCCGTATTTTCCATGATCCACATTTCACCAGACTAGGAAAGTTAAAATCCAGTCAAGTTCTCCATCTTAACGAATCAAGAGATACAGAAAAAATAAAGTCTAAGCTGAAACAAAACTCCGTTATTTCTTAAAGATTGGTAGTTTTATCTTTTTTTATGCATAAAAAGTTAGGCAATTTCTTATCAAACGCATCAGATAACATACTATTTTTGCCAATTTGATCAAATATATTTTAAGATGTAGCCTCCACTCTAAACTACAAGAAAGCAATATCCAGCTCCAACTGCATCAAGTCTTCTTCCTGAGAGGAGTGCTCTAACGTGTGAATTCAGTTTATTCTCCTCTTAAAGATGGTTACTTTAATGATCACACAAACCCCCAACCCTGATACCCAACAACAACAATAACATACCCAGTATGATCTCACAGCTGGGGTTTGGGAGGGTAGGATATACACAGACACCCTACCTTGTGTGAGGTAGAGAGGTTATTTTTGATAGACCCTTGGCTCAAGCCCAACCCTGATACCTTAAGAAATTAAACATGACTCCACATACTCGAATTAAAGCCGTCAAGCAGCAGACGTTTTTCACATTCAAAATACTGATTTAAACAGCTTAAAACAGATCACCCTACTTGAATGGAAGCAATAAAACCCCACTTTGTCCGGAAGTTACCATAAATCATATTACACCAAGAAATCGGGACAACCTGCCCCTTGCAGAAACTTCAAAAAATACCATGTCAAACTGCAAAAGCACTGAACCTTGGATAAACTAAGGGAAGGAGGAAAGGAACACAAACTGAAATCGTGTTGTAAATAAGATTTACTATTCTTCTATTTTCTTACCTTTATGTTTGCCATCATATATATGAATAACAATGTTCTATTTTCCTGATTATCTTCTTTATCTATGAAATGACAAAATCTGGCCCTTAGTTGATTGACCACAACTTAGCATTTGATCAAACGGACTTGTATGCTTGAATAGTGTTGGTTAGATATTTTTTGTTCAAGTCGGATTTGTTTCCAATAGATAATGGAGCTTACATTGTGTTCAATCAGATTAGTCCATGAACAACAACAACAACAAACCCCGTGTAATTACACAAGTGGGATCTGGGGAGGGTAGTGTGTACGCAAACCTTACCCCTAGTTTTAAGAAGGCAGAGAAGTTGTTTCCGGTAGACCCTTAGCTTAGGAGATTAATCCATAAAAAGGCAATAATTAGCCTTTATTTTCATCCGGCCAAGGTTGTGGCCTAGTGGTCAATAAAGTGGACTAAGAATCATGAGGTCCCATGTGAACTGCTCCTCTTGAGCCGAGAGTCTATCGCAAAATTGGAAATAATCTCTCTACCTCCACAAGGTAGGGTAAATTCTCCGTACACATTATCCTCCCCAGACCCTACTCCGTAGTAATATATTGTTATGTTGTTGTCGTTGTAAGAACCATGAGATATCAGGTTCAAATACTAGTGCAGGCAAAAACAATAGGTAACTTCTTCCTATCTATCCAAGCCTTCGTAGATAGAGTTATCCAATACCCATGCCTGGCAGCGCATACCATGTGGAATTAGTCGAGTTATGCGCAAGCTGGTTATAAGCGAAGAAAAAATTAGCCTTTATTTTCATCAAATAATCTCTTTTGAGATGGCTCAAATACCTATCTAAGTTATTTTAAGAAAGCTTCAGTCATATTGTATCTGTTCAACTTAGATTAGCTTCCTATAGAAAGTAGAGCTTGCATTGTTCAATTTAGTTTTTCCTGTTTATCATACATTCTTATCTGAAACTTCTCAAAACAAAAATATATATAATAATAATTATTATATATATTTTTAATTTGGATACTTTGATTACCTTTCAGCGACCAAAGCTAGGGAACGATCAGAGCAGTGTCTAACCCGAACGGTTGTAAGAGACCCGTTACTCCAAAGTAAAACAGATCGGAGCATATTGTCCATTTTGCGCTCGAACTCGGGCGTCCAGTAACGAGACGACTCAGTGGCCGATTCGAACTGAGTTTCGATGTCGATTACTGAGTTGAGTTTACGATCCTTGCAAGCTTGAAACCATGGCTTGCACACAAACATGGCTCCGCGCCATCGATCTTCTAGGGAGAGGCGAGAGAGGATGTTGATGAGGCATAACTGAGTTAACTCGCCCCAGTCATGGCTAGGCCCTGACTCGGGTTCTTTCTCTTTGTCATCGTCCATTTCTAATGGGAAGTTCCTCTAAGTTGCTATCAATTTTTAATTCTGGGATTATTAATAGGAAAGGAGTAGCAGTCAACATGGGCTAGGCCCGTAGGGCCACCCCATGCCAGCCCGCGATTTAACAGGGTTGGGCTAGAATTTTTGGAGTCCGTTTAAAAATGAGGCTTTTAAGTCCGGCCCGAGTAAGCCCGTGGCCCGTGAGGATTGACTGAGGTTGGGCCGGCCCGGCCCGTGGGCCTAATAAAATATTTATTAAAATATATAAAAAATAAAAAGTATATTGCCTATAGAGATGGAAAGTCAGAATTGGATCTTTACTAAGAGGAACCAAAATTTGATCTTGAGAAGTTTCAAGAGATGGATGTTGTCATGTATTGGAAGAATCATTCTAGAAAATATCCCGATCTTTCAGTGATGGTGCGTGATGTACTTAGTATTCTTATTACCATTGTAGCATCGGAATCAACATTTAGCATTGGTGGCGTGTTCTTACAAAGTACAGAAGTTGCATTTATTATGAAAATGTCCAAACACTTGTTACTACTCGAAATTGGCTGCACAAGTTTTCCCAAACTCAAACTGGTAATATTTTTTTATGTGAATTTAAATATTATTAATTTTTAAAATTTAATTATTTTTAATATTTAACTAATTAATATTGCATATGAATTGTAGATGTAGATGAAAACGAAGATGTTAAGACAACCTTGTCACAAGCGGATTCAAATGTGTTTGATGAATATGATGTGTTGGATATGTCATAAGCATCATGAACGTTCTCTTGAATAGTTTGTTTTAAGTTTTGACTTTTAGTGAATGAAAAGTCTTGTCTTTTACTTTTTTTAGTGTTTATTGTGATATATTGGAACAATATAAAAAGTTATTAAGTTTTGCGAATTTTTTTCAATATTTTTTAACTTTTAAATAATTATATTTTTTTAGGTCAGAACTTAAAGAAAAAATATAAAATTATATTTTTAAAAATAAAAATGATGGGCCGGTCCGTGGGGGCCCGCGGCCCACATAGGGCCGGGGTGGGCTGACTATTATAAGGCCCATCAAAATAGTGGGTTAGCCCAGCCCAGCCCGTCAATTGCTAAAGCCCATGTGGACTGGGCTGGGCTAGCCCGACTCGGCCCATATTGACAGCTCTAGGTACATCTTTACACAAATAGTGGTTCAGATTTATTATTTATTTTTTTAGCCGGTATATATAGATTAGAAAGAATTACAAGAAAATACACTTGGCATCACACTATAACAAAAAATGACCCGTATTTTTAAGTTTTACCCAACCTAGCCTATGTTGTACATATTTTGAAAGCACTAGCAAATTCAAAATTTGTATTATTACAACCATTGCTTCTAAAAGCTATGGAGTTAAGTTTGTACTCTCACAACCATTGCTTTCACTTTATTTTCTTCTCACATATTCTACATATGCTTCAAGGGGTCGTCCGCCATTACTGCTTCTCGGCTTGTGTCACCTGATTGCAATGTAAGAAAATTGAAGAGTAGACGTCCACTATTGAAGGCTATTAAAAGCTTTATTTTCGAAAATAAGATTTTTGAGTTTGTTAGTTGTTTGGATTGGGTGTTGTTCTAATTGATTGAAAATATCAAAAGGAGTTCAAAATTTAAATATGAAGTGATTTTGAGTAGATTTGAGCAAGATTTGAGTTAAATTTCAGAAAAGACGCAAGGAAGAAGACGAAGTTAGCTTTTTGTATAATTATGTATAATCTTGTATAAAAGTGTATAAACACATCTTATACACTATTATACACCTTTATACAAGCGTTTGTAGACGGACTTCTTCCACGATTTTCAGTTGCAATTCTTGTTCAAAACCAGTCCAAATCTCCATTAATGACTTCAAATTTTATATGCAACCTCCTTATGCTTACTATTTCTAACAATTCTAAATAACACCCACTCCAAATTTCTCACAAAATCAAATGCGAAATCTAAACCCACATATTTAAGCTTGTTAAAAATCTAATTTCACCATTCAAATGGATTTGGTTTGTTGAACTAATATTTGAGTTACAGTTGTTGATTCGAAAATTAACTTAAAACTTGAACAATCTTTTTTTAAAATTAAATAGTAATTTCGAGAATTTATTGGAGTTGGATGTTGAGTCTTACCCTATTATTTTTGGGCTATTTGGTTGTAAATTGAAATATGGGCTATAAAATTAAAAAGTAGGTATCTCAGTTGTTCTTATGTGAAATTTTTCCTATAGATTATATATTAATTATAATACGTGAATTTATTTAATATATATTATATATTTGTTGGTTCTTTTAGTATAAACGACTGAGTGTGTGGCTATTTGAGTTAATGTAAAAGTTAGGAGTTTATGTTTTGTACATTAATAAAACAAATTTTTTACACAATCAGATTAAGTTAACTACAACGACAGGTAGCCGTTCATAACAAGTACTTCATAACAGAGGCGGAGCCAGGATTTCAAATTTATGAGTTCAGGAGTCGAATTTTTTTAAATTACTAGGTTCTAAATTAATTACCTAATTTGTACATATTCAATAAACTCTCTAAGATAAATACATAATTTTAATCAAAGTTACCGGGTTCATAGTCGGCACTTTGGCTCCGCCCCTGCTGCATAACAGATAACTTGAAATATAAAGTAACAACTTATTATATCAAGTTAAATTGCATTAACCGGATAACATTTTCTTACGGTCAGTACATATAATTCTAAAATTTGAATTATTTATTTGATATAACCATTTGTTTGGCTTGTATTTTAAATATTCGCCACAATTTGAAATTTTTCGCAAATCGTAACCTCCTGGTCACACGGCAGCAACTTTACCAGTTCTGACGAGTTTAAGTTATTATTATATCGAGTCCCAACAATCAAAAGATATCTCATGTTGAGCATTTTGAAAATTAATTTTATTATCCTGGTTCTGACACTTCTCTTGCTTTTTAACCGTTGTGTCCGAGTCAGCTCGCGTGAAACTCAACAGATTTCACGGAATACCTGCTATCTCCCAGCAACATAGATATCGGGTAACTCTATCCACCAACGCTTGTATCAGGTAACTCTTGTTTTCTAAACAATATTGAAGTATTGTGAGGTAATGAACTCAAAACATAGGAGGAAGCAGTATGGAGAACAACTAGTCTGAAAGCTTACTAGTCTATAATCTTTGAGCAATCAGCAATATGTAACTATCATATGCAAATGATATCACACATTGTCACCTTAACAATTCCAGTAGATCCTTTTGATCCTCAAGTTCTACTGAACTACTACCCAAGTTCTTTGATAGTCCCCTCTCTTTCATCATAGCTCGAATTTTCTCCGCGTCATTCCACCTTCCCATTTCACCGTATAAATTAGCCAAGACAACGTAATAGGCCGAATTCTTAGGTGCCAATCCAACAAGTTTCCAAGCTGCAAACTCACTCAATTCTTGATTCCCATGAAGTCTGCAGCCAGCAAGCAGTGCACCCCAAATGCTCTTCGTAGGTTCCATTGGCATCTCTTTGATCATCCTAAAAGCGTCTTCTAAATGCCCACAACGCGCAAATAGATCAACCATACATGCATAGTGTTTCACACCAGGTGGAAATCGATACTTCCCGTTCATCAACCAAGAAAAGATTTCTCTACCCTGTTCAACCAATCCGGAATATGCACAAGCACAAAGCACAGCAACTAATGTCACTTCATCAGGGCTGACATTTTCGCGCTCCATGAAAAAGAACCATCGCACCGCCTCCTCCCCACTTTTAGCCAATGCCAACCCTCTTATCACAGCATTCCAAGTATACACATTCTTGTGTATCATTTCTTGAAATACCCAAAAACCATATTCAATTTTCCCACATTTTCCATACATATCTATCAATGAAGTACCTAATATCACATCCAATTCCCATCCACTCCTTCTTATATAGTCATGTATCCACATACCCATATCGAAAGAACCATAATTAGCACAAGCAGATAATGCATTCACCATTGTCACCCGATTAGGTGCCACACCCGCATTTCTCATTTGCTCAAACACAACAAGCGCATCATCATACTTCCCACAATCTTTATAACCCATAATCATAACTGTCCAAGAAACAACATCTCTCTGAGGCATTTCGTCGAACAGTTGTTTACACAAGTCAATCTTGCCACATGAGGCATACAAGTTCAATAACGAGTTCTGAACGTAAATATCACACCCATGACCCCATTTTATGATGTGGGTATGTACAGATTGGCCTAGTTTTAGCTCCTTAAGATCAGACAAAGACTTGAGAACAAAAGGGTACGTGTAATTATTCGGAAAAATACATTCTTTATGCATGTGGGCATACATAGAAATGGACTTTTGTTTTAGTGTAACTTCTGTTTGTGAAAATGCTTGAATGAGACTGTTGCAAATGAAGACGTGGGGCTTCTTGATAAGTTTGGTGTAAAGGGTGAAAGCAGAGTTTAAGAGACCTAAAGATTGGCAAGCTGAGATGAAATTATGGGCAACGGTAGTGTTGAAATGGAGATTGTGGAGAATGAGTTGAGTTTGGATTTGGGAAATATGAGCAGGTGAAATACAGGTTGTGTTCAGGAGATGGAGGATTTTTGTTGCTAAATTGTTGAGCTGTGAATATGAATTTGATGTCATTGGCAGCGTTTGTGCATTTACCTGCCTTCTTTGAAGCATGGAATATATATTGATGTTTTGGTGGGCTGCTCAAGTAGGAAAATCGAAATTTTAAGCACTTTTTTTGGTTTCTCCCACAGTGTTAGTTAGAGGTGGACATATGATTTGAGAGTGGCGGGGACACCACTATCGAATAAAAATTTGAGTAAATGATGGAGTTGGAATCGAACAGACGCAGCACCACTAAAAGTCAACTTGTGTCCCCCTAAATCGATCAATGCAGCTGCCTAAGATTTGAATCTTAAGGTGTCAATCAAAATATATGTATGTTATTTAACATATATACACATATATACATACATTTTTTTCGAGGTTATTGGGGGCCACTGGCCCCCAATCCAAATGGTAGGTCCGCCTCTGGTGTTAGTACCTGCTTTAGGGCCAACTAATTCGATTCTTACCAATTCTTACTTTCGGGATAAAAACTTTCTATTGTAGGCTATCATTCTCATACTTATTATCCTATCGCAATCTTTGGTGGTAACTTTTTAAGTTATGTTTTTGGAATTAGAATGAAACTTGGTCAAATGGAGCAAAACGAATTTTGAGCTTTTATATAACTAGCCTCAACTATTTTGTGATTGAGGTCTTTTATTTTTTTGGCTGTTGTTCTGTTCGGTTTGATATTTCGGTTTAATCCAATAAAGCACACCCTTAGAAATCGTTTGGTTGCCGTTTAGAGTTACGCAGGTATTAGTTATACATGTATTAGTTATGTATGTATTAATTATATATGTATTAGTTATGCATGTAGTTATTCAAAATTGTTATGCTTGTATTAATTATACAGAGATTAGTCCTTGAGTAATGTACGTGAAATTCATAAAAAGGGTCATGCTAATTGTAGTGTATATAATTCTTTTTTGAGGTTTGGTTGAATTTTTTTTCTATATTGTTACACACTTTATTTAATAATTCAAAAACACCATAGCACAAGATTGTTATTTGCCGGCGAAAACGGCAGTGAAAAGTTTGCTAGAGAAATGGCAATAATATTTGGTAAATTGATAGGAGTAAATTTGTCATTTTAGTATTTTATCCATGTATTACTAATACATGTATTAGTTATTCCACCTTCAACCTCGCATAAAATAATACCCAAATTGACTAATAACTTATACATGTATTATTTATCTAGAACTGTAAAATGCCAACCAAATATGGTAGTATTAGTTATGCTGAATTTGGTACAAATAACTAATGGCTATCAAATATAGTATAAGTTATGGTACCCCTAAATCCTAATACATGAATAACTTTTCCCGGAACGGGCTACCAAACGACCCCTTACTCTATTACTTTCACGTGATATGATTCTTTATAGTATGTTTAATTTGAAAATAATATTTATCCATAAAATATTGGAAAAAATTCAGATAAGAATAACTGGGATCCCTGCCTTTTAATTTTATAGCCCATATTTCAATTTACAACCAACTAGCCCAAAAATAATAGGCTAAGATTCAACACCCAACTCCAATAAATTCTCGAAATTACTATTTATTTTTTAAAAAAGATTGCTCAAGCTTTTAAGTTAATTTTTCAATCAGCAACTATAACTCAAATATTAGTTCAACAAACCAAATCCATTTGAATGGTGAAAATTAGATTTTTAACAAGCTTAAATATGTGGGTTTAGATTCCGAATTTGATTTTGTGAGAAATTTGGAGTGGGTGTTATTTAGAATTGTTAGAAATAGTATAAGGAGGTTGTATATAAAATTTGAAGTCATTTAATGGAGATTTGGACTGGTTTTGAACAAGAATTGCAACTGAAAATCGTGGAAGAAGTTTGTCTACAGATGCTTGTATAAAGGTGTATAAAAGTGTATAAGATGTGTTTATACATCCATATACACTATTATACAAGATTATACATAATTATACAAAAAACTGACTTCGTCTTCTTCCTTGCGTTTTTTTTTTAAATTTAACTCAAATCTTGCTCAAATATACTCAAAATCACTTCAAATTGAAATTTTGAACCCCTTTTGATATTTTCAATCAATTGGAACAACACTCAATCCAAACAACTAACAAACTCAAAGAAACCCTATTTTTGAAACCAAAGCTTTAAATAGCTTCAATGGTGGACTTCTACTCTTCAATTTTCTTATTGCAACCAGGTGACATAGGGGGAGAAGCAGTAATGGCGGACGGCCCCTTGAAGCATATATAGAAGATGTGAGAAGAAAAGAGAGTGAAAACAATGGTTGTGAGAACACAAATTTAACTCCGTAGGTTTTGAATTTGCTAGTGCTTTCAAAATATGTACAATATGGGCTAAGTCGGATAAAACTTAAAAACATAGATCATTTTTTGTTATGATATGATGTCAAGTGTATTTTCTTGTAATTCTTACCCCAATAAAGTACTCTATAACTTACCGTAAAGTAATTTTAACAGAAAGAAAATCAGATAGCTATTTCAAGCCGTAGGAATATCAAGTAGCTAAGATTATATATATTAAATTTTTAAAGATTTGGTACTTGTATTAGTTTATTTAATTCATGTCCTTATTACTAATTTAATTAATCCATGTCTATATAGGTTTTCTAATCAAAATCTAAATAGGTTTTCTATTCCTATTAGGAGTGGGTTTAATAGGAGTAATATAAATATGGGTATTACATGAATGAATGAAATCAAAACAAGTCCATAACTCGCAATTCAAACCTAAGCATGAACTCATCGAAGAACAGCTCCGCCGCCGGTAGCATCGGCAGCAACAGAATAATAAACCCTATATACAAATATGCATCACCGGCCAACGCCGCCGCTACCACCGCCGATTCACCGGCCGAGGATTTGAAACAAAATCTCAATCAAAGCATAAATTCAATCGAAAATACCCTAGGAATTCTCCACCAGCTTTATCTCACCGTTTCCTCTTACAATGTTTCCTCTCAACTTCTCCTTATTCAACGCCTGAATAATCTTGTGCTAGAGCTTGATAATATGGCGAAATTCGGAGAAAAATGCAATATTCAAGTGCCTATGGACGTCCTGAACTTGACTGATAACGGGAAAAATCCAGATGAATTTACGAGAGATGTGTTAAACAATTGCATTGTCAAAAACCAAATTACTAAGGGGAAAACAGATGCATTTAATGGTTTGCGTCGGCATCTACTGGAAGAGCTTGAACAGACTTTCCCTGACGAAGTGGAAGCTTATAGGGAGATTCGAGCAGCTTCAGCAGCAGGAGCGGATGTAGCCTTTGGACTACGGATTTAATTGAATCCATAATTTTCGATACAATGTATGAATTTGTATGTAAAAATTTATCAAATCTTTGCAAGTATTAGGTAGGCGTTTGGACATAAAAACTGTGAAATTTCGAGAAAAAGTGAGAAAAAAGAAAATTCTAAGTTGAAAATGGTATTTGAAAATTAGAGTTGAACATATTTGGACATGAATACAATTTGGAACTATTTTTGAAATTTTACGAGTGCTTCAAAAGTGAAAATTTTGAAAAATACTTTTTGGAGTTTTTCAAATTTCAAAAAAGTTTCAAAATTCAATTTCAAGTGAAATTTGAAATTTTCATGACCTTCACTAATTTTGAAAAAAGAATTTTTTTTATGGCCAAACGAACCTTAGATTTAAACCCGTAATTTTAATAGTGTTATGAAATTAATGCTAAAATCCTAAAAATATGTGGTAGTACCAAATTAATTGAGAGCTTTGGAAGAGCCAATTATTACTATTTTGGAGAAACACAATTGATTACCAATAAAGTATTGTGTTGTAGTAAGTCTCAAAGAAACTTATTCAGTTTCCAAAGTATACGCGAAAGCGATTGATTATATTGAGACTATAAATAAAGGAAAGATTTAATATCTTCTATTACTACAACTTGTAGCGGGGTAATATGTATGTGAAAAGCTACCCGTTTTTCTCCAATTTGTACTACATAAACAAAAGAATACCACAATGAAGTGGATATTTATTGATATAAAAACACATATCATAATAAACTTGAAGTTTATTCATAATTGCACACATCATGGTGTAAACCTGAAGTTTATCAATATTGATAATTTATTCAGTTGGCATAATTGGTTTACCCATATCAATTTAAGTATGATGTGCAAACATAAAAGAGAATTCACATGGGTAAATATTAAAGAACTAGAAAGTTCTTTACGAATTCTCTTACATTGCTTGTTCTCATTAATTAATAGACCAATTAAAATTGGGATTGAATCCCATGAATGCTGGAAATATCAAAGGTGAATATGGGCCCATTCACCTGCCATGTATACCACATAAGATGCATCTATGAGATGGTTACATGTGCGATTATTATTAACCCGCAACCTGGCCGATGTTTGCGAGGTAACTTGCTCACTAATTTAGTTTCGAGCATAATTTCCAGATTTGCTATTCAAGAAGTTCATCTTGATAAGTTGGTTTACATCACAGTTGGTTTAGCAAAATAATTTATTAAGTGCCTCTACTTAATAGCTAAACAGATGCTTATGAGAACAAAGTTATCTATATCAGTTTGATATAGGTTATATACGAAAGTATATTACATTCTCCCCTCACAAGTGGTTCAGGGTCAGGAACCAAATAATTCCATCCTATTATAATTGATGTGCGGTGTATATTTTGACTAACATCATAACGCACAAAGATGGGTTCTCAAAGTTGAGGAAACAAGTTAGTTTTTCTAACATGAGGGGGAGACATGATAAACAATTGAGAAAAAGTTATGTGGAATGAATTATCATTTGTACATGTAGATCCTCGAATAAAATAATATGAACTTGAAGTTCATAAAAGGATAATTCATGTGCAATTTATTGCAAAGCATGCCAGACGCATTTGCTGACCCAAAGAAAGTAACTATATTCTCATTGCAAATGCTTTTATTAAGTCCTAGAAGGACAACGTCTATGGTACGCTTAAAGCATATAGACAAATCGGTTTCAAATAAACTTCTTAATATAGAAGATGAGCAAATGATCAAAATGATCATAATAAGGAGGCAAGTGATCTAGAAGATCACATGACATAACACTTCAT